CCATGACCCCCTCCATCCCAGGCTGCACCTGGTCCCATCATCATGGCGTGGGCACCTTGTACCTCTGCCCCAGCTGCACCCACCAGGCAGTGCTCCCCTGGCCCCAAGCTACCCTGCTTCAGGCTCGTGACCTGGCCTTTCCCTACAAGGGGCTCCAGGAGAAGGCCCGGGTGGGGGTTCAGCCTGGCGCGGGGCTTCGGTTGCAGTAAAGGTCAGAGCTGAATGCCAGGGCTGGAGGATGCCCGCGGGGCGGGGGACGGTACACAGCCAAGGCCGTCCCGGGCGCCTGTTGACGTCAGTCCTCAAGGCAGCCTGAGGCGGAACTGTTGTTGCACGTCCTATCTCCGGCAGATCAATCAGTGGGACCTCCAGAGGGCAAGGGCAGAGCGCGGGCTGGCAGTCTCCTCAGCGAAGATCTGAGCGGGGGGACCTTGGCATGCCTGCTCTGGCAGCCTTCAAAGAGCGGGGCTGATAGCAAGGCGGCCTTGCTGTCATCAGCCTTGTCAGAGCCTGTCAGAGCCCGTCCTTGGCGGCCGGATGGGGCTAGGGTCTTGGGGCCGAGTAGAAAGGAGAGTTGGGGCCACACTGGGGCCTGGTTGGGGTCGCTGGTGGGCACAGGTCTCTTGGTCCCCTGGTGTGGTGAAGAGTGACACAGCCTGCCTTTCAGGGTGGCAGTAAGGACCAGAGACCCGACCGGCCCCCAGCAACATGCTGATCCCTAGCCCCAGATCCCACGGCCCACTGCGCAGGCACACCCTTCCACGTTCCCCAAGTGGGTGGATTCCCCTGCAGGGCCTTCCGGGACTCAGCTCCTTGCTGGAAGCAGCCTCCATCCCAGGCTGAAACCCCCAGGCTCCGTGCAGCCTCCTCCCAGGCTTTCCCTGCTGGCCACTGACCATACCGCAGGCCACCTAGGCCGGGGCCCAGAGCACAGCCAATGAGGCTGGGGAGAGCCAGACCAGACCAGCCATGGGGATTCAGATCCTTTATTGACAGTGGACATGAGGCCAGCCCTCCGTGGCAGGCTCTGGTGCATGCCCCCCGCGTGTTCTGCTGGGAGCCGGGTCCGGGGCAGGCGCGGGCCGACGAGGAGCCTAGGACTCCGACTCAAACATCTTCTTCCGGCCCTCCATGCCTGACTTCTCCTCAATGTTCTTCCTCCAATCACCCACGTCTCGAAGATCCCGCTCCTGGGGTGGGGGCGGGAGAGAGCTCAGGCCCACCCAGCCACTCACGCACCCTGGTCCACACCACCTTCAGCCTCAGGTTCCCCTCTGCATTGGGCAGTAGAGTGTCCCCTGCACAGCACCCTGGAGGGGCAGTGGTGCCGGGCACCTGGCAGGGCAGTGTGGACCCATAGCAGGGCGAGTGTGGGAGGTGCTCCCCAGGGACAAGGCAGGTGTGGGAGGTGCTCCCCAGGGAGAGGGCATGGGTGGTGCTCCCCTGTGGCACGCACCTTCTCTGTGTCCTCCTTCTTGACCTGCTTGAGGTTGGCTCTCAGGTCCATGCACACCTTGTGCTTGGAGCCCAGCAGGGCCTTGAGCATGGCGTCGGCCGACATGCGCACCCGCCGCAGTGGGGGCCGCTTGAACTTGCCCCGCAGATCGAACAGCTTCTGGTTCATGTCCTCCAGCTGTGGGCACAGGAGCCAGGTGGGGGCCCGAGGTCCCGGTGGCCTCAGCTCCCTGCCCCTACCCGTTCGCCCACCTGCCTTGGGGGCCACTGCCCGCCCCCAGCACTCACCTCCTTGCTGCTCTTCTGCACCCTCACCTCCATGTCGTACTTCTCCTCTTCAGCCGCGTCAATCTTGGCGTGCAGCTGTTTGCAGAGCTCCTAGGAGTGGGCGTGGGGCGGGTGGCTGTCCTGACACTTGGCAGCCACGGTCACCGGCCCCTGCCCTGACCACCCGGCTGGCCCTCTTGACAAGTGGGGAAACCGAGGCAGCAGGCAGGCCGGCTGCGGGGGGGTGGCAGTACCTGCACTTCGGACATGGAGCCTGGGATGTGCAGCGGCGGGCAGTGCTCCGCCAGGTAATTCTGCTTCTCGGCCTCGCGGCGGCCCTCCTCCTTCTCCAGCTCCGTGGCCGCAATCTGCAGCATCACGCTCTGCAGCGGGGCAGGTGGTGAAGGGCTGCGGCTGGCTCCCCCACCCCCGCAGACCCACCCAGACAGCCCCCCAGGTGCCCACACCTACCTTCAGGTGCTGTCTGCGGGCCGTGATGGCCCTGTTCCGCTTCTGCATGGCAGGGACAGAGGACAGAGTCAGGGCCTCCAGGCCTGGACTCCCCCACCCACTTCCACACTCTCTGGCCAGGTTGGGGGCTCCTGCCCAGGGACCAGCTGAGCCTGGGGGCCCCCGAGGCCATGATGGGGAGGCTGGGCCTCCCCGGGCCCAGACCTCGCTCTGGGACACGGCGCTGTGTGATGCGTGACACTTTGCCCAGGTGGCACATGGTGCTGGGGGGCAGGGGCTGGGGGAGAGGAGTCAGGCCACAGGGCCAGTCTGGGGCAGGTCAGCTGGCAAGGTGGGGGCGGGAAGTGCAGGAATCAGAAAGAAGAAGTGATTCCCTTTGACCAGGCCACAGCCACACTTGCCCTGCCCAGAAGGCATGGCACAGCCACTTCCTCTCTTGGTGGGTGGGTGGGGCACTTTTTGCCAGCAGGGAGGGCAAGGGCCATCTTCCCTGGGTCTCAGGGCCTTGAGGCTGTAACCTATGGCCTATCCCGAGTTGGGGGAGCCCCTCCCCACCATGTTTTGTGCCTCCAGCAGGTACTTACCTCCTCACTGTCCAGGGAGGGAGAATGCAGGCCGGGCGGGGAGAGAAGAGAGAGGTTAGGGCCATGGCCGTCGGGGTGGGATTCCTGATGGGGTGGATGGGGCGGGAGGTGGCAGGGGCACTGTGTGGGGGCACACTTACTCTCCCATCCTGAGGTCCTGAGCTTGGAGCCTGTGGGGAGAAGAAGGCAGAGGTGTTGCCCGGGCCTGGCTACCACGACGCCTTCGCCCAGTAGCTGGTAAAGGGTGCAGGCCTCCCGCTGACGCCCCTCCACCGCCCCATCCCGTACTCTGACCCCCTTCAAGGGCAACGTCTTGGAATTCCCCAGGGTGAGAAGTAAGAGGAGAAAGTGTTCCCAGAATGTCCCAGGCATAGCCTGAGGAGCTGCAGCTGTCCCTTGGGGGGGGGGGACGGGCCAGCACAGGTGGCCGCCTGAGTGACGCTGTTATTTTTAGCCCTTCGTCTTTGGCTTTGGGCCTAAGTGCATGGAAGGACCACTCCTCAGTGTGGCCCGGGGGCTCAGGTTCGGGGGTTTCTTGACTCCTAAACACCCCTTCCAGGGTCCCCAGAGGTGAAACCTGGTCGTCAGGGCCTGCCTAGGACCTGCCTCAAGCCAGAGCTGCCTCCCCAAGCCTCTCCCTCTCATTCCCGTCTGTGGAGGCCCCCAAAGTGGGCTGCTGGTGGCATCCCCCAGACCCCCAGACCCCTGCCTCAGGGAGTCCTCCCTCAAACTAGCTCAAGCCATGCCCTGTCCCCCGGCCTCGGCGGGCTGGGCTGGGCCTCACCTAGAATCTGGGCAGCAGGGCTGAGCGTGAGGTCAGGCCGGCGGTGGCAAGTTGGGCTGGTGGGCCCAGGGGGAGGGGTATAAATGGCCTCCCCTAGGCTGGGCCCCTGCTCAGAAAGGGCATGGAGTCCTCCTCAGACCAATGGGGGCGAGGAAGCCGCAGAGACCTCCCCACCTGTCCGGCTGCCTGGCCTGGTCGCGTGCTGCTGCCCAGTCCAAGAAGTCTTGGTGAGGCGCCGCGGCTGGGCGGCTCTATTTAGGGCTCAGTGACGCGCTGGAGACGCCTCTGCGGTTCTTGTAAGGAGCCTGAGGACACTGGTGCCTGGCTCTGCCTGTGGTGTCAGCCGGGCACACAGCTCAGGTCAGCCAAGGGGTCACCCTTCAAGGATGCACACCTCACCCCACCTCGCCCGAGGTCGGCGTCCAGCTCACCAACAGGGCCGCCTGCTGGGTTCAGCCACAGCTTCTCTGCTGGGCCGGCTCCCCCACTGGGGCCCCTGCAGTGGGCCGTTCCCCGCTTCAGCCCACGCCTGACCCCCTTCTGCAAGCCTGGCTCCTGGGGTGAGGCCTCCCAGGCCCTGCCACAGCGGCCGACGGCTGGGGGCTGCCCCCTCCCTGCGTGAAGCTGTCTCCATGCGTGGGGAGCGGGACTGGGAGTGAGGGGCTCGCTGTACCCGCGCTGGGCCCCTCCCAGCCTGCCTGGAACGCCTTGCCACCGTCCCCTCCAGAGACTTGGAACACATCCTTCAGCCTAAGGAGGGTGGCGCCACCCGCGTTGGGAGCCTTTCTGACCCGAGGGGGCTTGGGGCCCGCCTGGCTGCCCGGGCAGGCCCGGCACTGCCCTTCTCACCCAGGCCCGAGGCCCTGGTTCCCCCCAGCTCCGCAGTCCCCACCCTGCAGAGGCCCCGGGACCGTGACTTGGCACCCTCTCGGAGCGGGGGCTCTTGGCCCCAACCCCATGGGGAGGATCAGAGGAGACAGCAGCGTGGAGGCTCCAGCCGCTAAGGCAGCCCAGATGTGTGGGGGACGGAGAGGGGAAGCGGCCAGGGCGGAGCCCCTAAAGGCCTTGGCGGCTTCCAAAGGCATCTGCTGCCCCCTGCTGCTCACGCGGGAAGGCCCTGCCGAGCTGTGTCCCTATGAGGATGCCTCCAGCCTGCCCCATCCCAGCTGGCCTGACTCTCTGGACCCCACTTCCCCGGTCTTCCCAGGTGGCCCAGGAGGTGATGGGGGGGGGGAACCAGAGTGTGGGCAGGGAGGTGGGGAATCTGTGCTCCTGGGGAGGTTCCTCACCCCTACCCGGCGGTCCAGCAGGGATGGGTCAGAGGCCTCAGGGCCTGGCTGAGACTGGAGAGGAGCCCCTCCCCCGTCCTTGTGGGGGGCCCTGGTGACTGGAGCCAGGCCCTGTGTCTGCATCCCCTCAGGCTCCAGCCAGACACACAGTGGCAGGAGAAGGCGTTTATTGTAGTGGTCCCACAGGGCAGCCTGGGCAAGTGGCCGGGCTCAGCGGGGAGACCGAGGCTCATGGTGTGTTCCCGAGCAGGGCAGGGGCAGGGGCAGGCGCAGGCGGGGCTGCAGAGCCAGTGCTCGGTCCACCTCCCTGACCGACCGCAGGGGGTGCCACTGGACCACGGGCTGCTGGGCATGGGCCAGCATGTCCGCCCAGTGCTGCAGGGGCTGCCCCAAGGTCTGGGTACCCAGATGCACCTTGCCCACGGGCTCGGCCCGGAGCTGCGGGCCACAGTCCCAGAACAGCCAGCACCAGGTCCACATTCTGTGCAGAGACAGGCCACGGGGCGGGGTTGGGGGAGAAAGACCGTGGTCAGCAGGGTCTGGCACTGGGTCCCGATCTGTCCCTGCCTCCCGGCAGCCCACCTGGACCTGGCTGAAGGGCACCCGGAAGGTGAAGGCCTCGTTGAAGTAGGGGGCAGCCGTGCCCTTTTTGCCAGCTGTCTTTTTCTTCTTCCACTTCCTCTGGTTCAGCATGAGCTGGACCTTCACGTAGGGCTCTGGGCAGGCAAGAGGGGCCGGAGGTGGAGACGCTGACCCGGGCTGAGGCTGAGCACAGGGTCCCACCTTTGTACACCAGCGTGGGCACGTGTGACCCTCACCTGCCAGTCCTGGACGCAGGCCTCGGGCCTCCAGCACCACCACGGTTAGCCGGCCCGAGCCCGGCACATACCGGAGGGAGCAGCACAGCTCCCACCTTCTCGGGCTGCGGGCAGCGAGAGGGCTTCAGCTCCGGAGGGCCATCCTGGCCAAGGTGGCCTTCTGGCCAAGTTGTTGCCCATCAGGCCTCAGTCCCTCCCATGTCCCACAGGGCAGGGTCCCTGCCAGCTCTGCCTCGGGCTGCAGGAGGGGCTGTGGCCTGGTGATTAATGCCTCACCTCGGTGGCACCCGGTGGGCCCAGGGGGTACCAGTGCTCCAGAACGTGCTGCAGATCCATGGTGCCCAGTGGCAGGTGGAGCTCACCCAGGGGCTCGTGCCCTGAGAAGCGCCTGAAGTGGAAAAGCTGCACCTGCAGGGTGGCCCCTGGCAGCCCCACCTGTGGGACCTGAGATAGCGGTGTCAGCCAGGCCCTCTGCCCCAGCCCAGCCCCCTCAGCCGCCCAGTCCCCCCAGCTGCCCAGCACCCCCAGCCGCCCAGCACCCCCAGCCGCCCAGCCCTGACTCACATGGAAGCAGCAGGTCTCATCAAACACGGGGCAGAGCGTGCCTTGGGGCACCTTTGTCTCGTGCCTGTGCCCAGCCTGGGTGGAGACGCTGAGCCGGGCATAGGGGTCCACGGTGCCCCCGGGCCTCAGGTCGGCAGCCTGCTTCAGGCCCACCCTGATCTGGGAGCCAGGGGAGTGGGCTCAGCCAAAGGGCCTGCCCTGTCAGCTCCCCACCACCTAGGGCACAGGGTTGGCCCTTCACCCATCACCCTTTCCGGAAACTTGCAGAACCTGTGGCCCTTCACCTCCTGCCTTCCAAAGTCTTACTCCAGGGAGAGCTGCAGGCACCCCCATTGCTGAGCGGCCGCAGGGCTGGATTGCTGGCTCTCCACATCCGGCTGCACCTGGTGGGTTGGGACATGGGCCAGGTGCTGCTGCCACCAATGCCCCATCGGAGCCCTGGGCTCTCGGGCAGCACTTGCAGGACATGGGTCAAGACCCCCACCTCCGGGCAGGTCACCTGGCAGGCACAAACCCTCAGCTTCGCTCTGTGAGACCCACCAAACCCACCCCAAACATGGTGTCTGTTTACCCCGGCCTTCCTCAAGAACCTGCTGTGGCTCCCTCTGGCCCACTTTTCCCTGAGTCCACCTCTCATGCTACCTCCTCCTGACCTCTGTCCACCCACTTTCCCTGCCAGGAAGGCCCTCGTCACCCCTGTTTCGGGGGGAGTCAAGTGTCCCTGGGGTTGAGCCCACTCAGCTGTCCTGGGCTCTGGAGCCTGGATTTCAAGCTGCCCTCTCTGGACCGATCGGGAGAGGAACTGCTCCTCACCAGGCAGGTGGTGGTGGTGCCCGGGCACTGCCCAGGCCCATGGCCTCCTTGTCTCTGGGCTTCTTCCTGCGGCAGCGGCAGCAGCAGCAGACAGCATAGAGGAGGCCCGAGATGAGGAGGACACCCGAGGCAAAGGCGCCAGCAGTGACAGCCCAGTTGGGCCCTGGGGTGGAGGCCAGGCTCAGCATGTGGGGGGACAGCTGCAGCCCCCACTTGGCTGGCTATCCCCACACCCCTCTTTGGAGTCCCACAACTCACACGGGGTCCCGGCGATGAGGTCTGGAATGAGCCCGGGTAGAGCTGTGGTCCCAGCTGGGGCTGGGACACTGGGGGAGTCTGGTGAGTGCCCCATCTTTCTGCCCTGCTGGCTTGGAGGAAATGGTCCAGGAGGCTGGGTCAGCTGGGAAGGTGGCCCCTCCAACCCCTGCCCACCACCCCATCTGCCTGGCAGCAGCCAGCGCTGGGTCTGCCTGGGCAAAGAGGCAGCCCGGGGTGGCCAGGGGCGAGGGTTCTGAGAGGCAGGAAGCTGAAGGGAGGGAGGCGCTGGACCCTGGCCAAGGCTCCAGTTTGGCTGCCCAGGCCCGGCCTCCTGGCTACCTCCCCCCAGCCCCCAGCCCCAGCTAGGCAGGTAGGGCCTGGGCAGCTGGGTCCCTGCCTTCACCGGACCTCAGAGCACACTTGCCCCCACTGTAGGATGCCTCCTCCACCAGGAAGCCCTCTCCCTCGCTGCCTCTCTCTCATGGCCCTGGACCCTGGGCCCTGCCTGGGGGTCCCATCTCATCCCTGGGGGTTCTCATCTCTGAGGTCCCATCACTTCCTTGCCCCTACAGGACCCCCCACAGCTGGGGCCCACCATGGTAAGCCACTTGGAAGCCCAGAGGGGTCTGCAGGCTCCTGGGGGAAGGAGCAGGGCTGGCTGTCAGGGGCTCACTGAGCAGGCCTGGGCTGAAGGTGCATTCCTGGCAGAGGCTCAGGGCCGCAGCGCCTGGGGACGAAGGTGAGGTGGGGGCAGGTAGGGGCAGGGTGCAGCTGGGAGCGGCCAGAACATTCCTTGCACACTGACTCAGCCGCCGCCCGGACTCGCCCACCTGCCTGCCCGGCCACCCTTCGGCATAAGGGTGGGAAGGAGGGTGGGGCGGGCGCAGCTGCTGGCCCCTGCACCCCCCTGCCCAGGGCCTGGGGAGGGAGCACACCTGGCCGGGCTGGCTCCTCCCATCCACAGGCAGGGGAACCAGGGTGCCACATGGGGCCCACAGTGACCCTAGGCCTGGGGTGACTCCCTGGCTCAGCTCTTCCCTGAGTCCACCTTGCAGCCGGCCAGGAGACTGTTCCTCCACATCCGAGCCTCCCCAGCTTTGCCCGTGAGTGCCTGGGACCCCTCCTGCCGTGTCCAAGTCAGCCTGGCTTTAGGGGCACAGCCCGGGCCATCCCTCAGGAATAAGCAGCTGTTTAGATGAGATCCCCTCACCTCTGCAGCCCCCCAGCCTGGTGCAGAGCAAGGAGACAGAAAGGGACCCCCGCCATGACAACACACACACACACACACACACACACACACACACACACACACACACACACGGACAGCATCAACGCCCCACTGCCTGGCAGGCAACTGTGCTCCCAGAACTGACCCACATCCCCAGTGTTCAGAGAAGGGGGGCAGCTCAAAGAGTGGGGGAGGGCCCAGCTTCCAGCACACCTGCAGACCAAGCTGCCTGCCAGCTCCACGCCCTGTGAGCTCAGCAGGCCAGGCATTTCACTGGTGAGTGGGCTAAGGCTGGGACCTCCAGTTTTGTAGCCCTGGAGGCTGGCATGGCCCGAGGAGCCCAGCCTGTCCCCCAAGCAGAGGGGCCAGCACTGCAGGTGGAGGGATTGCAGGCACAAAACGGAGATGTGGCGGTCAGGGCCGGCTTCCCAGGCTGCACCCCACCCTGTGCACAGCGCCCCGTGCTCAGAGGGGTCCCTCCCTGGTTTAATGAGTGCTGTGATCATTGTGAAATTCTTCATTTTGGAACAAGAGGCTGCACATTTTCATTCTGCACTGGGCCTCACAAGCTACGGAGTTGGTCCCATTCAGGGGACCCCTTGGGTGAATCCCTGCAGATGGAATGGGGGGTGCAGGGAAGCTCACAGGCCTCGGCAGCCCCTCAGCCCTGGGGGACGCTCCCAGGTGGGTTGGGTGTCGCACATGTGGCTGGTGGAAACCCTACTAGCAGCTGACGGCAGGAGCTGGGTCCGCAGGGTCCCTGGAGCAGGACTGTGCAGGCCAGATTCACACAGGCCACTGCCTCCTCCTTACGTGGAGTTGAAAGTCAACTTCGCCTTTTGAAATGTCGGAGACTGTATGCATGCTGAGATTAAAGTAGCTTCACTGGAGATTTTTATACAGAATCTCGACCTGTGCGTGCAGGCGTGTGTACGTGTTTGTGCGTGCGCCCCTCCCCTGCACGCCCACTTTGCTGCATCCCCTCCTTTAAGAACAGTCAGGGTGAGCGGGGAGAGCATCCCTGCAGTGATATGCTGCTGCAGGCCAGCAGGACTCCTGGGCCAGCCTGGTGATCTTGTCCCCAGAGGAGCACAGAGCCACCCAGAAGCTGCTCCAGAAAACCCCAGGACCCTGAGGGAGCTGGCTGTTAGTGCTGGGGGTTGTCCTGAGGCCTGGGGAGGTGCATGGTCCCTCTGGACCTCCGGGACCGCAAGGAGGTGCAGGTGCAGTGAGCGCATGGCCACCAGATGGCGCCGTCTGCCCCGCTGGACCTGGACTCCAGCGCGGCTCCTGGGGACAGGGGCCTGGAGACCCTTGGGCGCTGGGGACACTTGGGCCTCCCAGCCCCCACCCAGGAACCCCCTGCCCTCCCTCCCTGATCCTCCCAGGCTGCTCTCCCCATTGTCTAGCTTTGGGTGTCCATCTTCTGTGGCCATGCTGGGAAAACCTCCTCTGGGAGTTCATGTCATGTTTTCCCAGGAAAGGAGATGGTCCTACCTCCCTGGCCACCCTCACTCCCTGCCCCCCCGGACACCCACTCCAGGAGGCTCCTTAGGACTCTGGAACCAGCTCCACTCTCCTCACAAAGGTGGCTACTCTGCTCCTTCAGCTGCATCCCCACCCTGCTTGCCCTCCAAGGCCTACATGAGCCCACCTCTTCCAGGGAGCCTTCCGTGGTCACCCCAGGACCCCCAGACCTGCCATGACGCCTTGTACTGAATTCCACTCTGTGTTCCCTCCCCATTGGGACTCCCAGCCCCCACCAGGCAGAACACGGGTGGGCCCCCTCCTTTAGACTTCTTGTCAGCCCAAGGGCAGGCACTTGTTCCGGGCTTGACTTACTCCATGGTGAGTGCAAGTAGAATGCTTTTGGCTTCCATAGGGGCACCTTTCTGTGGGTCCTTCCTCTGAAAAATAAGACTTCCCTACGTTCGGGGGCTGGCAGCCCCCAGGTGTAAACACACTCACCTGACGCCCACTGCTTCCCCGGACCAGCCAGCCACCAGGCCTTCCGCTCAGACCCTGGGCACCCGGAGGCCGGTCCAGCTCTCAGGCAGCACTGCCTCTGGTGACGGAAGGCTCTCCTTGGGGAGGAGGGTTGCGGGGGGCAGAGCTGCAGGAGCCCCACCTCGTGGCCGGAACTGCTGGCCCGTGAGAGCTGGGAAACTCCCTTTGGGAGGAAGGTCTCTCTCTCTCCAAGGCCCAGGGGCCGAGCATCTGGGCTCCAGCCTATTTCCATGGGTCTCTTGGGGCTGGGGGCACCCTGAGTCCTACCCAGCTTTGCTGGAGGGGGTGACGGGCCCGAGAGGGCTGGTTTTGGTGAGGGGCAGCAGGAGGGGACTGGTTGAACCTGGTTTGAGCAGGCCCTGACACCGGGGAGGGGTCCCGAGGCACAGGGCCGCCTGGCTTGGAAGAGAGCACTCTCAGGTGCTGTGGGTCGGGGGGACAAGTGTGAGGAGGACAGGGGCCAGGCGGGGGCTGCCCTGGGCAGTGTGGCACAGGCACCCTCAGGATACTCCCCTCCGTGCCTTTGTCTCCTGCCGGGCTGGCCCAGTCCCTTGAGTTCTTGGTTTTCTAATGAGCGACCCCCCTCAGCCGCTGGCCCCTGAGCGAGCGGCCGGAAGTCCTCACTCCAGTCTAACCTCAGTGTCCCTTGTTTCAGCTGGACCCCCAAGCAAGGCCTATAGCCTGAGCTCCCTACTCTGCTCTGGCCGGTTAATCTCGTCCAGCCAGTTTAGTCAGGTCCGTGAGCTGGGCCCACCTTGGAGTGGCCCCCCCAGGCCAGGGCATTTCCCAGAGCCCTTATCGCTGCGGGTTAATGCTTAACGGGAAAACCTGTCTCAGCAGGCCCGGGCCGGTGGGTGGTCAGGCAGCACGTACAGGGGACATAGCCCGGGCTCCAAGGATGCTTTTGGGCCACAGCAGGGGACGTGTAGGCCATGCATGCATGTGTCGGGGCCCCTCCGGTCACATGCAGCCCTGGGTGTGTGGGGATGTGCACATCCTTCTGGTGTTTGCACAGAGCACGGGTCTGTCTCCTAGTCTGGCCAGTCTGGGATGAGAGGGGCCGGAGGCTGCCCAGCGGGGCTTTTAGGCAAGCAGGGGTGGCTGGACGCCGGCCCCAGGGCACAGCTGAGCTACGTGCCCCGAGCGAGATTCTCTGCCTCTGGCTGTGTAGGGGCTTTGTACCTTCCCCAGAATATGGGCGCCTTCACAGCCAGACGGGCGTCTGAGGTTCCAGGGCAGGAAGGAGAAAACCAAACAGAACTGGAGCCTGAGGCCAGCCCTGAGGCCCCGAGACAGCGGCTTGGCAGCCAGCAACCCCATGGAGACCCTGGTGGGGCTCCTGGATGGGGAAGCTTCCTCTGAGGTCGCCTGGGGAATGTTTGAGGTTGGAACACAAGGCAGACGCTGGCTCGGGAGAGCCGGGAGTCACTGGCACACAGAGACGTGTGCTGGGTGAGTGCGTGTTCACCCTGCCCGCCCGCTCTGACGGCCTCCCTCCATGTCTGCGTTCCTCGAGGCTGGGGCACCCTCTTTGGCTGGGGCGCAGGATGGCCGGGAATGGGGGAACTCAGCTTGCCACAGCTCTCTGTGGTTTGGGATGCACTGTGCCCATTCTCTGTGTCTTAGCTTGTGTGTGCCACAGTCACCTTTCATTCGGGCTGTCTGCACCCCTTCATCCTGAGAGGCTGCACCCCATCAACCAGGCATCTGGGGATGCTGTCCCCCATGACATGGGCCTCTGGAGAGGCTGCACCCCATCACCGAGCCTCTGGGAAGAGGCTGCACCCCATCACCTTATCTCAGGGAGGAGACTGCACCCCGTCATCGAGCCTCTGGGAGGAGGCTGCACCCCATCAGTGAGGCTTCAGAAAGCTCTGCCCCATCTTGGACATGGGGGCCTGCACCCCACTCCTCTGAACATGGCAGTTATTGATTCCATGGGCTCAGTGCCTATCCTCTGAGAACCTGAATCTGGGTTCTGGGGATGAAAACCTCACGTGATGAACTGCCTGGGTGGCCACCCCCTCACCTGAAGTCTGGGGCATGTAATCCACTCCGCAGATGGCTGGTGCTGCAGGCCGCCGCATCAGAGGATGGGGGTCGTCTCTGTCCTTCCCGCACTGACCTCATCTCCCAAGGTCCTCGGGGACCTGGTGGCCCAGGCTCCTCCCCAACAGCTTTGTGTGGGCCCCATTTACCTTGTCTGGGGGCTGTGTCCAACCGGGCACCCTGGCATCAGCGCCTCTGCACCCCACCGTTGAGAACGCCTGCCGGACACAGCCTGGCGGCCTGCGTGCCTGTGCAGCCCCTCCTCACCCAGGGCTGGGTGACCTGTCCCTTCTCGGTCTCCTGTTGTCAACAGGGTGCCAAGACAGCATGCTCCCCTACTGTTGAGCCCTCTGAATCCCCTGTGACACATGATACTGAAGCCTGGGTGCCAGCCCAGGGCCCGGAGCTGGGTGCCTCATTCTTGTGCTTTGGACGCCCTGTGAGCCACACTTCACTGCTGGGTGCTGCCTCTGCCCGCGTGTCCACCCGTGTGTCCGCCCGTGTCTGAGAGCTGCTCACTCCTCTGACTCCGTAACGTGCCTCTGAGGAGCTGAGCCTCCACCTCAACCATCTGACATGGAGACTCCTGTACCCCATTATTCTAAGTACCTAGAGCCTCTACCCCATTGATGTCAGGGTGCGGGTTCCGGTACCTGTCAGTCTGAGTGTCTGGGTCTCTGTACCCTGTGGCTTGGAGGCTTGGGGAAGTCTCTGTCCATCCACCCTCTAGGCAGATCTGGAGTGGGAACGTTCATCTCTTGAATATCGGGGTGACGGAAAAACTGGGGCCTTGATACCCCACTTGTCTGAGTATCTGGGCAGTGTGGACCCCAGCACTCTGAATGTCGTGGTGCCCTGGATATCAGGCCTGTGGCTTTCTGACCCTTCCAGCCCCGGCGTGTCCTTCCACCCGGGGAGCTGGTGGTGCGTTCTGCAGCTCTCAGCCTGGGTGCAGGGGAGCTCCTTGCCCACATTTCTGAGTGGTGTGTGTCCAGAATCCTCCAAGAGTGTGGGTGATAGCGCACACATCTGCAGGGGTGCCCTCGTCCCCTGAGGACAAAGAGCCCAGCCCTTATTCACCCACGTGTCTGGACACACGCCCTCCCTCCTGGTCCCGCTGCAGGGGACCCTCTTCTCGTGAAGGCTCAGGTCCCGTGGACCCACTCACTCAGACAGTTGGGCTCTAGCACTTTCTTATCTGAGTGTCCAGCAGCTGACTGGCTGTCCTACCCGATCCTCCGGCCCGCTGGGTAGCGAGGACTTCAACCATCACCCCGATGGGCGCTCTGCCCCAGGTTTCTGGGTCTCTGGGGGCTCCGCGTTGCGCACCCACACTGAGCCCTCGAGCCCACTCTTCTCTAGCTGCCTGAGGGCTCCATGCCTTGTGCCCTGTCTGTCAGGGTCTTTGGCAATGTAGCCTCCACTGCCTGCCTCACACATAGACACACGTCCCAGGTCGAGGGCCCCGTGCTGGTTCCAAGTTCCCCTGTGTCTTTGGATGCCCGCTGCCCTTTTGTCCGTGGCTGTCTCAGCCATGGGAGCTACACATCTCTGTGTCCTAGTCACGAGTTCTCAGCTTCACCACCCAAGCCTCCAGGGATCCATGCCCCTTCCTCAAA